TACCCGCATCCCCCGGCCACACCGGAAGCGGAAGCGCCGTGCAGCAGCGCGGTGCACTCTGGGAAACAGAGTCCGCCGGGACAGAAGAGCCGTGTGCATCCCTAGGCGGGGAAGCTGTCGATTGGCTGACCCGAGCGTGACGGAGCGCAGCGAGCCAATAGGCAGCCGGCTGAGGGTTTAAAGGCGGGAGCGCGGGGGGAGGCACGCACTGCGCTGCCCGCTACCGCGGGGCTGCAGCCGCTGCCAACTGAACGCGGCCTTCAGCCCCACCCGGCATCGAAAGCTGCCTTTCAATTAACAGCAGCTAATTAAGCTGTTGCCAACCTTCCCCGTGGAAGAGGGGCTCCTGGAGACAACCTGAGCCCGGCTCAGCCAGCTTCTGCCCTAGCTGCTGCTCATCTCCTCAGCCTCTCCCAAAAAAGGAGAAGCCACTGCTCCTCTGGTCTCCCAAACCTGTGCCAAGGCACCAACAACTTTTTTCTGACAAGAAGAGTTGTTTGCATGCTAAAAAAAGCCAAGTTACCATGAAAGTACAGCAAAGGCTGCATGAGCTGCATGCCAGTCAAGCTTTCCTCCCCAGCAGCTCTTAAAATGGTCTGCGCAGCACAACGCAGCTTTAAAATGCTGTTGGTACAACATTTACCCCAAATTTTGTTTTCTAAACTTTAAGCAGGCAGGTTTGAGTAAAAAAAAAATACATAGTGCAGGAGACTGAGAGCCCAACCTGAAAAGAACACAAAATAACCTCTGAAGAGTTTAAGCCTAAGTTTATTTGTTGTCCTACAAAGGAGTCAATGGTGACAAATCTACAGGTGACAAGTCTACCTTTAGTGTCATCCCATCAGTGCTACACAGAAGTGAAACAACCCCCTGTCTGCTCCCAAACCCCAGAGAGCTCCAAGGAAGAGGAGCAGCAAATCAGGAGAACTACAGCCTAACAGGGCCGTCACAACGCACACATCACTACTCTACACCACAACAAAATTAAAACAGGAAATAAGGAACAGCAGAACAATTCTGGTCCAACATGGGTGGCCCTCCCTCAGGTGACTGCCAGCAGTCCCTCTAGAAGCACTTGCGATGCACGATGGAAGGGCCGGACTCATCATACTCCTGCTTGCTGATCCACATCTGCTGGAAGGTGGAGAGCGAAGCCAGGATGGAGCCACCGATCCAGACAGAATATTTGCGCTCTGGGGGAGCGATGATCTTGATCTTCATGGTGCTGGGTGCCAGGGCCATGATTTCCTTCTGCATCCTGTCAGCAATGCCAGGGTACATGGTGGTACCCCCAGACAGCACAGTGTTGGCATACAGGTCCTTCCTGATGTCCACATCACACTTCATGATGGAGTTGAAGGTGGTCTCGTGGATGCCGCAGGATTCCATGCCCAAGAAGGAAGGCTGGAAGATGGCCTCAGGGCATCGGAAACGCTCATTCCCAATTGTGATCACCTGCCCATCTGGCAGCTCATAGCTTTTCTCCAAGGAGGATGACGAGGCAGCTGTGGCCATCTCCTGCTCAAAGTCCAGAGCAACATAGCAGAGCTTCTCCTTGATGTCCCGCACAATCTCCCTCTCGGCCGTGGTGGTGAAACTGTAGCCTCGCTCTGTCAGGATCTTCATGAGGTAGTCGGTCAGGTCGCGGCCAGCCAAGTCGAGACGCAGGATAGCATGGGGAAGGGCGTAGCCTTCATAGATGGGCACGGTGTGGGTGACACCATCCCCGGAGTCCATGACAATGCCAGTGGTGCGGCCAGAGGCATAGAGGGACAGCACAGCTTGGATGGCTACATACATGGCCGGGGTGTTGAAGGTCTCAAACATGATCTGGGTCATCTTCTCCCGGTTGGCCTTGGGGTTCAGAGGGGCCTCAGTGAGCAAGACAGGGTGCTCCTCTGGGGCAACACGCAGCTCGTTGTAGAAGGTGTGGTGCCAGATCTTCTCCATGTCATCCCAGTTGGTAACGATGCCATGCTCAATGGGGTATTTCAGGGTGAGTATGCCCCTCTTGCTCTGGGCCTCATCACCCACATAGCTGTCCTTCTGCCCCATGCCCACCATCACACCCTGATGCCGGGGCCGCCCCACAATGGAGGGAAACACAGCACGAGGGGCATCATCTCCTGCAAACCCTGCTTTGCACATGCCCGAGCCATTGTCCACCACGAGGGCGGCGATCTCCTCATCTGCCATGCCGACCAAGCCTGAGGTGAGCAGAGATAAAGACATCAATAAGTCCCTCCTCAGAGGGAGCACAGCAGTAACATCAGATGCCCCCATGCACTATAGATCAGGAAGCTGCTGAGAAGCCAGGGACCCTCAACAGCAACACTAAGGGAGAGATACTAAAGAGCCTCAAAAGTTTGAGCACAAAGGGAACATCGGGGAGATCTAATGCTTGTTTCCCTAAATTCCTATTTATTTCCTCCAAAACACAGGAGATAAAGAAAAAAAACAACACAACTCATTCGTGCCCACTCCCCAGGGACCTGAGGGGCTCCTCCAACACAGCCTCCCACACCCACTCCCACCCATCCACCTTCCCCACAGCCCTGAAGGGACAGAAAAAAGCACAAATAAAAACACTTCTCAGCAAGGGGGGGTGGGGTAAGAGCGGAAGGCACCGTCCCAACCCCACTGCCCCATCCCCACAGGGACAAAGCCGCTGCTCCAACCCTCACCTGAGCACTCGCCCTCAGAGACTGGCAGGCCCGCTGCCGCGCCCGCCCTTTTATCCCCTCCGGAACCGGAATGCGCTTCTTGCTTCGCTATTTAATTGGCTCCTGGCCCAAGCGTGGCCCCGCCTTTCCCCC